TACATTTTATCTCGTAAACAGTACCCTGGGTTCAAGATATGCTCTTCTCTAATATTCTAAGGAGAGTTAATAATAGTTTCTTTGCAATTGAAGCGAAAATGTTTTTGATAAAAAAAGTAATTTTCCGTTGGTCCCCTRCTCAAGGAATTTTGACCAGTAGGTCATTTTAGGTCACGCGCTCACGTTGACTGGACGTGTGCAAGTAAGTAAACAAATGAAGATTAGATTGCAATTACGAACAATAGATATCTATCTACCATGTTCTATCTAGATTGCGCCTAGAACTAAACACGAGTGAACACGAGTGAACACGAGTGAACACGAGTGAACACGAGTGAACACGAGTGAACACGAGTGAACACGAGTGAACACGAGTGAACACGANCACGAGTGAACACGAGTGAACACGAGTGAACACGAGTGAACACGAGTGAACACGAGTGAACACGAGTGAACACGAGTGAACACGAGTGAACACGATGAACACGAGTCGAAAAAAGATAAAAAGAAAATCAAAAAAAGTAAGCAAATATAAATAAATAATTAACGAAGAACGAACGAAGGGAATAAATGAGTTGCATGAGTATTATATAAACTTTTATCTACGCCAATAGTTAATTCCTGATCGGTCACAATCGCATCGATTTACAGTCAACAACAGGAGGGTAGTTCTAGTAATATAGTATTTGTTGACATTATTGTTCAAGACAATTTTAGTGCGCCCATGAAATCAAAGATAATCYTTTTAGGTAATGATCCAAGTTAACGTTTATCAAGTTTACATGTATATTTATAAAACCGGACATAATTAAGTGGTATACTGTATTGCATTATAGAAACTTTACATTATTTATTGTTCGTGTTATTAGTTATTTCCAAGTTCTCTTAAAATTCATTAACTCATAAATTTCTTTGTTTCTTTCTKGCATCGTTTCTGTAAGTTTATCTTATTTATTATTTTATCTATTTACCTGTTATTATTCTATTCTATATTTCTTTCTTTTTACTTTCATTCATTCGTTCTTTCTATTATTCATTCATTTTCTTATTTATTCATCCCATTCATTTATTCGTCCATTACTTTATTCCCTTCGTTCGTTCATTCTTCGTTAATTCATTTATATTTTCTTGCTTTTTCTGATTTTTTTTTCCTGATTTTTTTTTTTGTTTTTTGTTCGTTCCTTCTTCGTTAATTTTAATATTTATATTTGCTTACTTTTTCTGATTTTTTGAAATCTTTTTTCGACTCGTGTTCTTCGTGTTCGACTGATGTTCACTCGTGTTCACTTGTGTTCGACTCGTGTTCGGTCGTGTTCACTCGTGGTCACTCGTGTTCACTCGTGTTCGACTCGTGTGGAGTTTTAGCCGCTATCGTTCTATCCACCCCTAATCATAACACGAATCAACAGAACGTGCGTAGAAAAAKATTTCTTTGGCAGTTATCCGTTTTGAATTTCCGAGGTCACTACTGAAAATATTTGAAGAATTCCATTGTTTATCTCCGAGTAGGTTTCGCGCGCATTATATGCGATCCTTTTTTAGACCAAAATCAAATCCACGCACGATATCACATATCGCAATAAGAATGTATCTAACTTAAATATAAATATGTACCGATAACAGTTMAAATACTATTATATTTTTCATTCATATGACATTTATTCTAGTAAATACCGGACACCGAAATTGTCTTTTTATTTCACAAAAATGCATGTAACATCACCAGGGTGATGCCCTGCCAGTCATTAGACACTTCATCTGTTTGAAGTCTTCCAATAGAGCTTTTAGTATCTATTAACATTTTGACTCGACACAGACACAAACGTTTAGTCATAGACGATGAAGCTTTTTACATCCTGAATCAAAATTGCCTTTGTAATTTGGATATTTATGAAAGCAAATTGCAAGAGTAAACAAGCTTTTAGTGCAAACATTATTAGTTCAAAAGATGTCACTTTTTGCCTTTCGCACGTACGAGACATTCATATATGATTTCTCAAACTCATTAACGTGTTTGATATATTACACAAAATTTAAATAATTTATTTTCTTCCTTTCTTTCTTCTTCTGTAAGGAGCTGTTACGTTTCTTATTCTCTCTATTGCATTTTCTGTAGTTTCTTTTCATTTTTCTTCGACAAGTCTGTTGTTAATGTATCGCGCCTGCGAACACTCTTCCGTCGTGCTCCCCCAAGACACGATTCTAGTTTTAAAAACCTTGGGTCTTGAAGTCCCGCTTTTGATTTTTCTCTCGACATTTTTAGSATTTCAGGGAAAGATGGCTGCTTGGTCGATTGTATTCCACGACGTCCCGCATGTCTGCTATACCTCATTGTCGTGTCATGATATGATGTTGTCAATGGCGGAAGACTCGTACTTCCCAGTTCTTTTATCCTTTCATTGCATTCTCCTCGTCTCCCTAACTGAGACTGTTGAGTAATAAAAGTCTYACTTTGCTCAGCTAGTTCGTGCCTTTGTTTGTTTTGTACAGCAACTCGTACCAACGCCATCGCTTTTTCCCAAGTTCCTTTACTCCTCTGAGGCTTCAAATCACCAACTTCTTGATCAGCACTCGTTCTTCGCCTTATATTTTCATTCAAGCTTATCGAATGAATCGGAGGTAAARCGCTGTCATTTTTTACCATTGTTGTGGCAATTGTATGCGGTCTTTCTTCTGAAGCAATGATTTGTTTTGTAGCAAAGTCTAGTTGTCTATAAGTCATGTATTTATCTTGCCTTTCTTGATGTTTTTTGAGGGCCACGATTTGTGAATTGAGAGCCCTGTCTTCGTGCGCATTCTCCTTTAATATAGCTACCCCTACCTTATTTTTAAGCCTCATTTCTCCATTCTTGCTGATCCGAATCAAGGGTTGCCGAGACGACACGCTCATAATGAACAGCTTTTACAAAGAACGCATTTGTCGACCTAAATTCAGTGTTTTGTCATGAAATTGCGTGATGTCTTTGAAACTCGATACTCCAAACTTATCTTATTACCAACATGTACATCCTTTTGCCATTAGCCGCATACCTTAGTGAATGTTTGCTATATTTGACACGAAAAAACGTTAAAATAACTTGAATATGATTCGGAGAACAGTTGCATACAAGGAAATTAGGACATTGTTGACTTAGGGATCCATGACTTGCTCTTTAAGGCACGCTTCACTTTAAGTCATCAAGCAATATCGTTCTGACATTTAAAACTTGTCGTGCATCTCCTGGAGTGATCATAAAAACATTCTTCCTGACCGCCACGGAAAATTTCTTGTTCCCAAACGGAGTTCTTATTGCTTTTTTTAAATTAGTTCCTTGATGTTTTCTCCTTGAAAGTGCTTCAGCTCTTTGAAGCCTTTCTCCTAACTCTTTTATACTTTCAAGATTAAAACTTGTACGGCTTTAAGTCGGTTTGGTTACTTCAGTCGGTTTAGTTAGTACTCAGTTTTGTGGTTACTTCTGTCGAGTGTTTTACAGTTAGTTCGACAGTAAATACGTGCATCGACTGGCGTACCACCGRTTTGTTTGCAAGGCAATAACTACTGCTGATCTTCGTTTGTTTGCTGTTGTTTTACGTGGTTTTTGTTGTGCTAAATCTCCTTGTTTTTCACTATGATAACTCAAAATATCACTTCAAAGGACCAACTATAAAACACACAATAGATGCACTTATTACCAACTGAAATTTAAATATGAAAAGAACTGTAAAATATTGTCTCTTGGGAACTTTTTTTTTATCGCAACACAATTTGTTGTCTAGCAACAACTCGAGTGCGCTGGGTTAAAATGCTTAATCTTATAAATTTATCTCAGCTGAAAATTGTTAAATATTAATAATGGACTAAWACAGCTGTGTAAAAATGCAGATTTAAACTTGTCTCTCAAAAACGAGGTCTAAAAATTAACATACTGGAGCTAATTGCTTTCTTTTATACTAATGCAGAGTTAATCCATTATAATTAACATTCTCTTCAGAAGGATTTACATTAACATTCATATAGATTTGTTGAAACGGTTGCCGCCATTATGATTGAATAATCACCAAATAAAATCTTGCTAGTTTTTGTTTTGAGCCCTTCTCCTTTCCTTCAGTATGAAAGGGGAGCAGTAGCAAAATACGCGCGTCCACAACTGCTTTATAAAAAAATCACATACAATACAGAATTAAATATAGAATGTRGTCTTCTTACCCAAACCGTAGGCACTAAATAGTAACTATACCAAATGACAGGGCAGAAAAACGGGCTCTACTTTCGACGTTTATGCGTTAATAAGCTTTATATTTCAGGGTCTTTTGGGGCTGATTAACAAAATACCAAAATTTGGGGAATTTAAGGGATGCGTATTTGAGAYATAACGCCCTGAACGTTGGGAGAGATGATATTTTGATCAGCACAAAAACTAACATTTTCGCTAATACCTCGAAGTAGAATTGCTCGAGGTTAGCAGAATTTTGTGAAAAGTTTAAAGCAAGTTTAAATTCAAGAATCATTTTACAACAATTCAGAATACATGGATATTTTTGGAATTAACATTAAATATCATTCTTTAAAAATGTAGGCTAATAAAAGTTTCAAATGTTTTGTCGAAAATTATATTTTTGAAAATGTTTACCAGCGATGGTMTCAAGTCTAGGTCAGGTCTAGGTCTAGGTCGTGTACCACACWGATGGATGACGTCTTGCACCGTATCGGGAAGCCGATCCTTGACTCATCTGGTCAAGTTGATATGCTGTAGTAGACTTTTCGAATGCGTTTGATTCTGTGCCTCACAGCCTCCTCTTGTTCTAGCTTAAGCATCATGGATTTAATGGCAGTTTGCTATCATGGTTCTCCAGCTACCTTGCTGGGCGCCGACAGAGAGTAGTTGTCGAAGGAAGCTCCTCTGATTGGCTACCTGTGGCTTCAGGAGTGCCTCAGGATCAATCTTAGGTCCGTTCCTTTTCTTGTTGCTTATTAACGATCTCCCGGGCATTGTTTCTTCTGATTCTACCATGGCCTTATTGATGGGTTGCAAGCATTCCCAAGAGAGTCAAAAGACAAAAACATGGCGGCCATTGTGGTGCTGTGAACAATGAATGCTAATGAGAAATCTTTTGTTAAATTGCACCAATATGGCCGCGATGACGTAACGTGCAATCGAAGAATTTGCTGATGGTTCGAAGTGTTTTCGGGAAATCACCACTTTAGAGGATTGTCTTAATTTTGAACATGATATCTTRAATAAAGAAATGGCGTGACTCGTGGGGGATGTCTTTTAACTCCAAGAAGTGTAAGATCATGCGCACAACTCGATCCTCTAGT